GTTATATCATTATTTTTTATCTACATACAAAAGTAAAATCTAATTGTTGTTTTAAACTAGTTATTTGTACTTTTCCTAATGATCCATATTGTATGTTTTCAATTGCACATCGCAATTTAATAAATAATTTTTTCTTTAGTTGCATTTTTCTCACAATACGTACTTCTTTTTCCTATTTTTCATGAGCTGCTTAATTCAAGTTCGAATATAAATAGAGATCTAATTGTATACTATCAATTCGAAAATAAGCGATGAAGGTTAGAAATATTTTTAGATTTCGTTTTCTTTTAAGATGACTATAATTCATATGTACTGCTGAGGAGGATGTCGGTGTGGCTGTTGCTACTTTATTTTTCTGACATATATACCCACACTCATACCCTCAACCACCGTTAGCCGAACTCACACCTACACCTTAATTAAATAGGACACATTAAATGCGATTATATGACGACAGTAAAGGTATCGACTACATTATAAATAATTAGGCGTTGGAAACGCTTGACATCGAATTGTAGAACTAAGTAATAAAAAATGCGAATAATAATTTACCTAAACGATGGATGAACTAAATAAATCTATACTGAGCGATTCAGTCACAATTTCAAGTCGATTATATCATACACAATTTTATTTTTCAAAATTTTCATATTCATATAAAACTAGATGACATTCAAGTTTCACTCAATTGAGAAATGCGATGTGACTGTAAGACGAAGATAAAAATGATAAGATTGAGATCATGAAAAGAAGTATGAATGAACAATGAAAATATCTGTTTGAGAATATATAATTTGTACTTGCATTTTTGTTTTGATTTATTGATCAAGATCTATTAAACCATTGAATAGAGTACTTAATTCTGTTAGTTTTATTTATTTTGAAAGGTTTATTAAAGATGTACATGATAATTATAATAATTGTATATAATGAACTGACTAAGGACATTGAAGAATATAAAATATAGATAAGGATTTTGCTAATATAAAGAAAACTTATATAATTAATCTGATCGACTGATGAAATTGAATGAACATATAAATTTTTTGAAGTTTCTAATGTTAAAACAAAATTGGTTTTCGTGATCTCAGACTGGTATGAGGAGAGGTTTTTGAGTATCCTATCTATAGTACTAGTTAATCACTTTCTTAAACGAAAGAGATTTGAATGTACATGTTATGGCGCCTAGAGAACATAGCTAATTGATCGTTCATTTTCTTGAACATGTCTATTGAACATATTGGCAAGTGATATTCTCAATTATTTGTAATACCTTTTTTTTATCGATAATATTATAAATAGGAATGGAAAAAGCATTACCTATGTTTGTCTTAGGTATCACTTGTATTTTTATCACTACTGTTGTCTTTGGTATTTTGTGTGGAAATATGATTCGAACACGACGTATAATTTCATATTTTGTTTTATTAATCTTTTTTTATGAAAAGAATTATTGTTAGGTCAAATTGAAAAAAGTCAACATGAAAATGAAGAAAAAAAAGATGAATATCCAATTTATATTATTCATTCACAAAGTCAAAAATCACTCGAATTTCCAATTAGTACAATCAATAATAAAATTAAGTAAGATTAATTCTTATTTAATATAAAACACACTTCTGTGTTCTTAGTAATACCAATCAAAGTGCTGCAATTCATTCATCAACAACAAATATACATGAACATCAATCATTGTCACATATGGCAATTGATCTTGATTCAACATTCAAAATTCATCCTAATCATATATTTTCTAACAAACGTATTGTTGAACTTTAAGATAAAACTATCTTTCTTTAATAACATCATCATTCCAAATCTGTGTATAACTAACAAACAATTAAACACATCGATTTGGAATAGATGAGAAAAAAAAACAAAAACCAAACGATAAAAAAAAAGTATAAGAAAAACAAACATCACTGTTCGAGATCACATGCTGATAAAACACGATCCAATGGCATACGTGGATAAGCTTTTGTATATATAGAACTACCAAACCAATTTTCTAATGATTGACTTTGTAATACTGTCGAAAAAAGTGATAATGAACTATCATGTTGTTGAGTAGCAGCTAAATAAGTAAAAAATGATTTCACTTTGTTTTTTAAACTTATATTATATATGTTAACATACGTGATGGTGGAGCCGAATAAAAATTTTGTGCATCATCATCTTCTTTATTCATTTGAGCAGCCTTATTCATTCGATGAATATCAAAACTTGGTGTACCAGGTGTTTCCATTGTTGTTGAACATTTAAGTAGTTGAGCCAATACATTCTTTTAATTAGAAGATAAAAAATAAGTTTTACTAAAATAAAATCAATACTTTTTGACTTTGATCAGGTGTACAAAGCCATTCAAATGTTTTATTTGAATTTGGTTTTGCCGGTGTTGCTGGAGTACAAAATGCAGATAAACCACCTTGTTGATGAGCAGACTAAATATAAAACTAAGTATGATATTAATAAAAGAGAAAGCTTTGTACAATATCAGGTATGTGAAATGGATCAATTTTACGTTGTTCATTTCTAAATAAAAGATTTTTTTAAATAATAAAAACTAAAAACAAATTTCTTTACTGTTGTATATGTTGAGCCTGAAATAAGCGTTGTAAAATTGGAATTGTATTTGTTTCATCCGGTTTGTCTTCTGGAATTGTTTGATAGGTTGGTAAAAGAGATTTGATTTGATTTGTGTATATTTCACATTGATTAGGATTTTGTCTTTGATAAGGCATTGAAGGTTGTGGTGGAAAATGATGTCGAGATGAATTTAATTGTACTTGTTGATGACTATAATCATCAATCCAAACATGTGATGGTTGTGTTTGATAAGGAAATAATAATGTTGATGATTGATGACGTGTTGCAACTGATGTTAGAGCAGCTACTTGTTGAGGTGTTAATGGATCTTTTGGACGACGATTTTTTACTTTCTAAAAACAATTTAATATATATGTACAGGAAAACAAAGTCTACAAAATAATTTACTTCAATAACAGTTGGATCAGAAAAATCATATTTATGTATTCTACTTGGCATTATGATTGGACCTTCAGTCATATTGTATGATTCCAAATCAAATTTACCAGCTTTTTCTCCTAACATTCGATCAAGATCAATATAATTTTCTTCACTAAAATATATATTTAATAGAAACTAAGATTTATTTATTTATTTTTTGTAATTATTTACTCAAGAAAACGTCGTTCAACAAGATGATCAGGAAATATTGTTATTTCCATTGGTGGTCGTAAAGAAAGTAATGTAGTCTAAAATAAAAATAAAATCTTATTCAAATCATATGATAGAAGAAAGAATATTAACAAACAGTTGTATAACGATGTGGCATGCGAGCATAGTTCATCATTGATTGTGCTGTAGTTGGAGTTTGAGCGATTGTTGATGTTGCAGACATAGGGGTTGATAATGATGATATGAAATGAGGTGCATTAAAATTTGTTTGATAATTTGAATCCATATCTCTTCGAAGATTACCAAGTAGCATGATTCTAAGAGAGGGAAAGGCAAGACGATATATCGACGGATGTATTCACGAACGAACGAACGAACGAATGTGCTAGTGAAATCACGAATGTTTAACACGTGTTATTATTAGTAGATTTTTTCTTTTCTCTCTGTTACTTTCGGCGAGAACATTAAAAGAGAAGAAGAAAATAATGACTGACTGTTATTATTTCATTAGTATAAATTGGAAAATTTTCTAATAAATAATATTGACAAATAAAATGTAAAATAGTATATATTTACATTTATCATATGGAAATCATATGGAAAAAAATCTGTACGGAGGTTAATATGATCTCTTGGACTGGATCTTATCCTTGAACCAATCGAAAATCGGAAAATCATCGGTAAATACTTCATATAGATTGAATTTGAACTATTTGAATCTACTATATAGTATTTTCTTTAAAAAGTATTACGACTATTTACATACAATCTTATATTTCAATATTTTCTAATTAATATATAAAATAAAAAAGTGTCTTTTATTATTATAAATCATGAATATGTGTTTCGCGTTTGATTAATTTTCTTGTTGTAATATCAGTCGTTCGTAGATAAATCACTGTAGTTTTTTTAATTGTTTCTTCAGACAATACAGCACCGGTTTCGACATCAATATCTCGTTTTATCCAATAGTGATGAGGTATTGTATGACCAAGTGTTGTAATTGAACCCACCGTTTCTATATCAAACGAAATAGCCTCGGTATTGTATTCATCATTTTCATAAATACGAGTTACAGTAATGAGTTTATCAAGATTTGTAATTGATTTCGTGAACCAGCGTTGACCAACTGAATATTCAGATATAGATAATTCAATTTCTTTCTGAAAAAATTCACGAGTACGTTGTGATAAGAGACGACGAGCTGCACGTTCATCAGGTGGTATAAAACGAACAAATTTATAAGTTTTTTCAATTTCAGCACTTGTATTTGTTAGCGGATCATTAAGTTCTACAATATGTTCTATATATATTGTTTCTTGCTGTTGAACTTTCTTCTCTCCAGTCAATATATTTATCGTAGTTGTCGATTGATTTTCAGCATAGGTAAATTTATCTCCTAAAAGATATCGATTTTGAATTTGAACCGATGCTATAATAGATTTGGATAACAAAAGACTAAAAATAAACAATAAAGTTATATAAACTTTCATTGTCCGTTTCAAATCTGTTTACAAGAAAAGAATAGAGCAACGACGTTTCTTTTGCATATACACACAAGATGAGAAATATGTAACTTTTTTTTCTAAGATATGCAAATAGTTAAAGTAAAGAAATATCTTATGTATGTTGGAATTTTTTGTATAGATTAAGTATTATTTATTTTAAATAAACTATAAAAAAAAAATTATATCTATGCATCAGTAATTTTAAATTGATTCTTGTCAATATTATTTATCTAAAATTAATATAAATAGTGATTAAAAGTGTAAAAAAAAGGTGTAGAAAATATAAAAAGGAATTTAGGATTGTGATAATAATATAAAAGTATAGTAGGTACAAAGCAAACAGAAATGTCTTTTTTCTTTAGAGTATAGTAGGTACAAGGTACGAAGAATGTGATGTTCCAGCAAGTTTATGTCGATTCCAATAATTTTCAGGAAGAATCGTGCCTAAATCTGTTTCATTATCATGATACCATGTAAAATCAGGTTGTTTTACATTATATGAATTGTTAAAAGCCGATGTATCATATGATACGGATGAATTTTGATTACAACAATCTGTTCTGTTATTACATGTATCATCAACAAGACGTCCATCATTGAGTCGTCGTGATGGATCTAAAAGACAATGATAAGATGATGGCATTGGTCGAAGAAGCTTATAATTTTTTGCAACGTGATCTCGATGAAGTTCTGGATGATTCATTAATGATGGACAATTGATTATATCCGCTATACTTGATGGAGAACCATATAATTGTCGTCCTTGTAAGGATATAACAGGTGGTGGAAAAAGTTGTACATTATGTTCAGCTTCTAAGCGAGTCTGTTCCCAATCGAAGATACCTGATCGATTGACAAATGGAACATGAGGCTCTTTTAAATACATGATAATTAAGCTGAAAATAAAAAGAAGAAAAGTTTAACTTTCTATAAGGGAGAATAGTATGTCCATAAAGAATTTTTCGAAAATATGTACTGACATCCTATGAAATCTTAACTCTTAATGTTTTGTTTTTGTATTTTGTCTATGATTGCGCTGTCGCCATTTTTATTGTTCATATCTAAGCAACGTTCTTCGCAAAAAATTTCCTTTTATCTTTCATTCGATATTTAAAACAACCATTCACAGAACGATAAATGATATGTATATGTATATGTACATAGGTGGGTAATTAAATAAAACAAAATAATGAAAACGTTGTAAAGAAAAATTCATTGAACCGAAGCTTCAATAAATAACTAAAAGTTATTTCTATTTTAGATGCCTCTTCTAAGTACTCTCTTATCACAAGATATTCCACAAAATTTCTATAAACTTCAATTGCATATTTATTCTGGTTTATTCTGTATCGGTCTACTAGGTTTTCTTTATCTAAGTTCACCAATTGTTAGTCGTCGAACATATTTATCGGAAAATGCTCTATCACCTGGTCTTGTATCAAATGATCTATCAATATCAAACGAACGTATACGTCAAATAATGGCACAGTTACGTGCAGGATTTAAAGATAAAAATATAGCTAATGTTATTCAATCAATGTTACTTGAAAATGGTATTGAAGCATATAAACAAAATATTGGAATAAATTCTACTGATAAACAAGAAGAAAATATTTATGGTATCGTACGAGCACCACGATTAGCATCAACGGAATCAATTATTCTCGTTGCTCCACTTTATGTTCGTATTCAAACAAATACTCAACAAGTTAAAGCTAATCTATTTGGTAAATCAAATTAAAACAAAACAAAAAAAATTTAATCATATATATTATTTTTATTTTAGGTATTGCTCATACATTAGCAACTGGTTTTACACTTCATCGTAAACCATATATGGCAAAAGATATTATTCTTCTTTTTCCTACTGCACAAGAAAATGGTACACGTGCATGGTTAGATGCTTATTTTAATAGTAAACCAGATTCTATTCCACTTGACGCTCATGCTGGCTCAATACAAGCAGGTTTAGCATTAGAATTTCCTCATGAAAAATTCTATTCAATTGATTTACGACATAATGGTATAAATGGACAATTGCCAAATCTTGATTTAATCAATACTGTTATACAATTATGTGATAAAAATTCTATAGCAGCATCATTATATAATATTTATGTTGATCTATCAGCAAATGATCTTGGATATGATTACGTTATTAAATCAACACGAACATTATTACTTAATGTTTTAACATTAGCAACTGGTATATCAGATGGTGTACATGGACAATTTTTACATTATCGTATTGAAATGATAACTTTATTTGGAAGTTTAGAAAAACATCATGAATATCAAAATTCTCCAATAACAATTCGAGCATTTGATGATGTTATTGAAGGTTTTATTCGTAGTTTAAATAATTTACTTGAACGTTTTCATCAATCATTTTTCTTTTATCTTCATATAAATCGTCGAAATTTTGTTTCAATTGCAACATATATGGTTCCACTTGGTTTAATTGTTTTACCAGCATTAATTCGTTCACTTGTTCTTTATATGTCGTTTTTTGCTTCATCAACATCAACATCAACAAATACTAATGTAACTCATGGTCGTACAATGAAATTTCATGTGAATTATTCACCAATATTTTTTGAAATATTAGAATGTCTTGCTTTATCATATGTATTAATGTGGATACCATTAAAATTATCTTTTTTGGGTATCTGGTTAATAACAATGTTTCTAAGTCCAATTTTTTTATGTCCACTTCGTTCAAATGAACGACAATTTGATTATTTTCAATTTATTCTTCTATTAACTGGTTCAGCTATATTAGGATGTCTTTCATTATTAAATTATTCTATGGCTTTTCTTGTTGCTTGTTTTCTTATGCCATGTTATTTAATTGCTGGATGTACAAAATTTGAATATTGGTTTGTTAAAATAATATGTCGATTTTTATTTATTACATTCCTTAATCCATTAGTTTTTCTTGCTCTTTATCATTATTTAACACGTTTATTAATAGCTGGCACACTTGTTCTTCCTGATTTTGTTCAATTTACAAATGATCTTGAAACATATTTTGCATCTTATCGTTTATTTAACGCTTGGACAGTTGATGTTATATGTTTAACAATTATACCATTATGGTTAGTACTCTATCGATCAACATTTTGGATTCGAAATTAAATATATTATTGAACTAATAAAACGCAATATAAACTTTTGCGTGTATATAAGACAATGTTTCTTTTTTTCATTCTTCATTTAAATAAATTTTTTTGACATCTGTCTCATTGTTTTTATTTAGTTATTCAATCTTTGTTAACTAAATAAACAATCAGATCCTAGCAAATAAGCATTAATTGTCGTGACAAATAAGTTAGCAAAAAGAAAAGTATCTAAATAATTTAAAAGTATGATTTGCACTTTATTACCATTATGATCGATAGATTGAAGCACTTTTGACTTTTCTTATTTATATAGAAAACTAAGGAGGGAACTTCTTCAGGGGTTTAAGTCCTTTAGCTCCCATCTTTTGGCGATAGATATACCTTAATGAAGTATGACAAAATTCAAGAAGCTTTATCCTATAGGATTCGAGAATGTAAACAAAGGCATGCTGTCGAATTTTTATAGATGTTGGAGAAAATATAAATATTCGAAAAAATTCATATCTCACAAAGAATACGTTTTAAAAATGTGAGATTTTGCCCACATCCTAATCTAACTGAAGCTTTAAAAACTCGATATCTCGAAGATAAAGACGCGATAGGATAAAGCTTCTTGAGGTTTACCTATCGCCAAAAGATGGGACTTAAATACCTGAAGAGGTTCCCTCGTTAGTTTGAAATGAAGGGATATTTAATGCATCATCAAAAGTACTTACTGCTCATGTAGAAATATTGAAATCGATCGTTTCTACAGTTAGAATAGGTGTATCACATTATCAGGAATAAGTATTCTCCTCTTTAATTGACTACTATACTTTCAGATGATTCATGAAGTCATTATTCCAAATTCTCTTCTTCAATCTTCATTATCTACTTGTGAAAATGAAACTCAATGTTTTAATGTCGCGCAAGTTTTCTGTCATCATTGTCCGAAACATTTATGTCTTAAACATCTTATGGATCATAATACTATAAATGTTACACGAGCAGATGAATTACTTGGTGAAATTCAAAATCATACAGAATTTCTTTCAAATATTAATATAGAAAAATCATTTGAAAATGCTCGAAATAAACTTGATTTATGGAAAAATCAAATATTCAATAATATTGAAAGTATATATAATTTCTATTCAAATGAAATTCATCGTTTAGAAATAGAATTAAAACATCGTGTAAATAATTTTAAAAATAGTTTTCAATTAAAAATGTTATCTTTACAAACACAATTATTATCATTAAAAGAAGATATTGGAATATCTCAACAAGTAATTTAATAAATTATATATATATATATTTCTCTTAACCTTTTGTATTTATTTAAATAGCAATTATCACCAATTGAATTGAATTTAAATCAACTTCATCAATGTCTTAAATCAGTTAAATGTGATTTATATTTTGATATAAAAAATATTTCTTTTCAAAATTTAATTAATGTATATAATATATTTACATACAATCGTACATTATCAAGTTTGACTCAACTACAACCTTATCGAACAATATCGGTTGACAATATAGAAAAATTTATTACAAGCAAGTCGAATCAGTCTATTTTATGGTTAGATACAAAAAAACAATTACATTATATTGATGAAAATTTTCAAGCTCATCAATTAACAAGTTTGTTTATAAATATTTTCTTTTCAAATAAAACATTTGTCGTTTATAGTACCGTATAGATCATCAATATCTTCTAATCATCAAACAAGCAGAGTTAATATTAATATTATCGATATAAAATGGTGTCCATTTGCAAATGTATATTTAATTCTTTTTCCACAATATCTACTTTCATTCGATGACAAAACAAACAAATTCACATCTATTTCTATTACTCGATACAAAGATTATCCGTATGAACATAATATTCCGCAAAATCATAATATTCATTTTTCTATTTAGTTTTCATTGTATATCGTGTTTAAATGATACATCGATTTATATCTCATATTGTACATCTGGTATGTATATTGAATTATGGAAATATTCTTGTACTAATAGTAATGATATTCATATGGATGAATGTATTAAACATTGGACTTGTTTAAGTAACGATAAAACTGAATGGATATCTCATATGAACACAAATTCAAGTTTACAAATAGGTTTACTTATCCATAGAGGATCATCAATTTATCGACGTTTTGAATTACGTGATGAACATTTAAATTTCTTAAAAAAAATTCAATTAGATAATGATTATATTGATGCATTCTTTCCATTTCAATCAAACTATTGGTTTATAAAAAGTTTATCTAATAAATATTTTATTTACTCAACAGATACAAATATATGTAATTTATCAACATTTGATTTTCCTTTTGGATTGCAACAATTCGGAGTTAATTCAGTTGTTATTAGTAATGATAAAGAAGAATTAATGATATGTGATATTTAATGAAATCTACTAGAACAGTCATATTTTTTTTTAATAAATAAATAATTTATTCTTTGTTTTTCATTATGAAAGAAAAATATTTATGTTGAATTTTTACATAATCTAAAACAAGTTAGATACGGATGGAGTATTATAAGTACATACTGAATTAGAAACGAAGATTTAGACTGGTTCTTTTCCCATAATCGAAAGAAAGGATTGATTTTCAAGGTTAATATTTTATTTATTAAATTGAGTTCATATAAGAACTTATAATGTACTTTCTCATTATTATTTCCTTCACATAACATTTTTTTCTTTTTCTTTTTTTTATGTCGTTTTATTTACAAGTGTAAATATTCTGAGAGGTAATGATAAAATGTACTCAAAATAGATTTGTCCTTGTTTTTTCTTTATCACGTATCTTGAAATGACACGCACACAAAATATCTATTAGTGATAATCATTCTAGAGAATAGTCAAGATTGATAAAACCAATAGATGGATTACATAGTAAGAATTTCTAGAATGAAGGAAAAAGGTAACAATCTGTTATTGATATCGGTTAGAAATGTAACTATTTAAATATTTATTCATAAATCAGGTTTTCTTCTTTTTCTAACATGTTACTAGGGTGGAAAAAGTGTTTTTTTGACGTGCTAAAGTACGCACTTATTACAGGAAAGAAGTATGGAAAAAAAACAAGTTTATGCGCGTTCACATTCTATTATTTCCAATAATGTCTCGCTGCTCTATTACAAATCCGATCATTTTTCATCACAAAATGACAATTCTATTAAAAAGTGAACATCTTATACAATGAGTGTTAAAATTTTTTCAATAGTAGTATTTATATTTACGTAACAAACACTTTAAATATTCCATATACCTATTATTTTTTAGAAAGCTTCTCAATGAGAAAAGTAATCTTTTGTATGAAACTAATTCTAAAAGAGGTTGATAGCTTATTTCCACATTAAAACAAATTTGAAAAGTATATTCGTAATATTAGTAGCAAATTAACATTAAGACACATGACCTTGATAGAAAAATGTAATATATATATATATACATATATGGATTGCAAAATTTTATTTGTATATGGAATATTTTTGTAAGAAAATTCAATATCATAACAATGGTTTTGTGTACATTGATATTTATAATGGATTCTATTACAAAATTATTCATATATGACGATGTTGAAATAAATAAATACCATTTTTGTTGGTGCTTCTTCGGGCATTATATGAAGAATAAGGCGATGGTTGACTATATGTTTACACTTGACAATAAGGCGGAGGTTGACCATAAGGCGGTGGTTGATTATATGATGCTATCTGAGCGTATGGCGGTACTTGATTATATAGTTGTGCTTGACTACACTGTGGTGTTTGATTAAACAAACTAGTTGTTTGATAGTAACTAGGTGGTGCATATTGATTTCCATGTTGAACAAAAGCTATTTGTGATGGATAAGGGAGAATACCCATTCTAGCTATGTTCCTACGTTTTAGTTTGTACGTAACAATTATTATCAATAAAGCCACGCTGAGAACAAAAATAGGTATAATAATAAGTATAGTAATTGGAAAAGTTGATGATGAAGCCGTGGTATATGCTGCAGATGAACATAAATGAATAATGGTAGTCAGTAGTAGAGATATAAAGAATGCTTCCATTTTCAAAAATGATTTTATTTGAATGAAGTATAGAAGAGAAGAAGAAGAAGAAAAAAAAATGAGAAACAGAGCACTTAACTATGAACGACGACAATGCTATTATACTATATTAACTACGAACGCAATCATTTTAATGTTTACCTAAAGTAATTTATATTTATTTTCATGTATGATCTTTCAATTTTTTGATTATCATTCTCTTGAAAATGTAATTCGTATTCAGAATTAAACAACGTGTTATGCATGACAGAATCGACAATAATAATAAATGGTATCTATATAAAAAAAAATTATTTTTAATAGGGTAAGTACACAGATTTTTTAATTCATATCTAATTTTTCAATATTCTTTTAGATTGAAAATATAATAAAATAAATCGACAATATCAGAAATGAAAGAAGCAATATTTATACCGGTCAAGGTGAAAAATAACATGAAATAAAATAAAGAACGAAATGACTTTATTGACAAACATCTCATGTAAAAAAATAGAAACTGTTATATTTCGTACGTAGAAAACTGTAAATTTGAATGTACGTTTTTTTATAAAAAAAAAAGAATGCAAAATTATATTGTTGTATAATAATATCGACATCATATATATGGAACGCTTTATTATTTATTAATCGTTACCGCAGTTGATTGTCTTGCAACACCAACTGAAGAATAAGACGGTGGCAGCGTGCTATTAACCGGAGTTTGTGCATAAGGTGGTGGTTGATTATAATTTGGTTGTCCTTGGTTAAAATTGGGTGGTGCATATGGATTTTGATGTTGATTCATAGCCATTTGTGCGGCTAAAGGTAGAGCACCCGTTCTTCTTCTATTTCCACGTTTTATTATACAGCAGACAATTATTACTAGAGCAATTGAGACAACAACAACTATAGGTACTACGATAGCCGCAATAATGTCACCGCCTAATGATGATCTAGTACCAACGGAAGTATAGTATGTAATTGAATATACATTGCTAATAATACTCAGTGCAATCAGGATAAAAAATGCTTCCATCAGTAGAAAATATTTTGAATGAATAAAATAAGCAATAGAAACGAAAAATAGAGTATTTAACTGTTGATGACGTCAATTATAATGGCAACGAATAAATTCAACGCATTGTTTATTTAATCTGATCTAAATATTTTTCATTTTCTATTGTCAAGTTCTTCAAACTTTTATATAAGACGTCCTCTAGCCTTAAAGTCTTCTGTAAAGGATTTTTCTTTTTTATTATTATTGTACGTCATTTGTTTTGTTTTTAAGCGTGGTAAAGAGCTGATTGCTAAAGAAACGATTATTAATCATACCAATAATATATGACAATTATACCCGTAAAATTTGTTTTCAATACGCCTAGCTTATTAATACTATTATATTAATAGATAATGGTAACTCCAAAATTTACATTTCGTCTAGAAAAATAATCTAACAAATATTTTTCTTCAACAATTTTGTAATATAATATACAATGAATGAATGTACCTAATAATTCAAATAAATTTTTTTATTTAATTCAAACATAAAATGCATTTGCTTAACTAGACTGTGATAATAGAATGTGAATGCATAATGGATATACTTTTGTTTAATAATTATAGAAACAAGACAAAAAATTATATTAAATTAATTTATTAAAGTTCGAATTTTAGTAACCTTGCCATAGCATCAATGTCAGGTGATGTTATCGTATAGAAATCATATTTTTTTTGTACAAATCACCTTCATATGATATTTACTTTTATGTGTATCTAATACTGAATATAAATACGCAATATTCATTAATATTTTGTATGTTTACCTACCTGAATACAGAAGATAACCAATGATATATTGATTTTTTTAGCAGCGACAATTTTTTTTATATAAATTATCATATTGTAGAATATATGTATATATTTATTTATCGATAAATACCAAAACTTATATTTACTAATGAATTTATCATATCGGTAAAAAACAACAAAATGTTGATATATATAATAAGCATTTTTCGAACGATACGTTTTGATGTCTGTATACTGATTGATCCTTACTAGCTCTTTAGTCATGTTTTGATATTTAAAATATAGGAGAAAAAATATGCATCATTTTAGGCTTAATATGAATAGTCGATGCTTCGCCTTGATAAGCGCATTTGTATTTATCATTTTTCATTTTTTTGATTAACCTGAAGAGAGGCGTCGGAAATTGCATATATTATACAGTGTAGTTAAATACAGTCATTGAATGATGTCACAGTTGAATAACCACGTATAGCAATAACAAAACGAATGATTACTTTCTTTGCTCCGGTGTCAATTGTAACATTGCTCTCCGAATATTTAATCTATCGCCAGTTAATTTATGGATACTGCTGGGTCTTTATCATCACCATTAATGAAAAGCATAAATCGTATGCAAAATATAAATTTAATAAACAACGAAGATTTAACATTATCCAGTGATGATTATAGTAATGATATGTTGGCTGTTTCATATGAAATTATACAAGATGATGAAGTAAAGCCTGATATTAGTGATATAACTGTACAACATAAAAATAAAGTTAAACAAGTTACTCATCCTGCTCAATATAAAGAAAAACAATATACAGTTGTATCGTATGGTCCAATTAAAGTAAGAGTAAGTACTCGTCCAACACCAACATTACAAAGTGGACGTCGTTCAAAATTTGCTGAACTTGATGCTGAAGCATCAGCTAAACGAGAATATAAACGTGAAAAAAATCGTCAAGTAGCAAGAAAATTAAAAGAAAAATATCTTAATATTGAAAGTGAATTAGTAGAGAAACTCAATGAATTAGAATCTAATGAAAAAGAATTAACAGAGAAAGTTAATAATCTTACATCATATAAAGAATTTCTTACTGATCGATGTCAACAACAGATTAAAACTCAAAAAGAAATAATTGAAAAAGCATCGTCAAATTCATCTCAAGAAAAAAATCAATCCCAACAAACACAAAAACATATCTTCATACAACATGAATTTAAATCAGAACCAATAGAACCTCGTTCTCCATCACCAAATTGGCAATTACATTTTAGTATTACATCATGAATAAATATATTTTTTGTTTTATTTTTTATATTGCAAATAAATTCAATGTGGACAATTATAATAAATATTTTTCTTCATTTAAAATATTTCTGTACAGCTTTAGTATTAATTGAATTTTATCATGTCTTTTTTTTAATCTCATAACTAGGGTCATTGCGTCTGTTTTTGTGCGCATATTCTAATCAAAAAATAGTCAACAAAGCTAAGTCATCTTAACATGAATTATAGATATAATAGCTGTCCGCCTCAAATTGTGAATCATCAAAATTTCTGTCTATTTAATAACGAAATAGTTTTGAAAAGTATGACATTTACCTTCTTATTATAATAACTGACACTTTACATTAGACACAAATAATATAATATTCATTTAATCTAGGTAAAATAAGCTATCGATTCTTCTATAGATATAAAATAAAATTATATGCACACGAACAAAGGTAGAATTAAATATTTATTTTTATTTTTCATGCTTTTTAGTATCCAAACGAGTAGTAATAAAGAATTTGCTCTGATTTATATTTCCTATCCGGATTATGCTACATCTTGTTTTTGTATCGATGGTACAATTGTACAAATTTGGATAGTTTAAATCGTATCCGTAGTTATTCAAATGAATTGAAATTAAAGGTAATTTAAAAAATACTAGATTGCCTATTTTCATTGAAAATAGTAAATATTGTATAATTACAATATCACTACCGTAAAATGAGTATCATTTTTATTTTAGTATTATTCGATGTTAAACTAATAAATGTAATAATAATAATATTAACTTGTAATAAAAAAAATCAAATGTTATTTTAACAGTCTACTCAAAATTTGATATAATCCAATACTATCATATTTTATAATTAAAATCAAACAAAAATTTTTTTTTATAAGATTTCATTTTAAACTATAATCTCATATAAAAATAGTTCGTTGTTGCTTTAAACAAGTTTGTTATAATTACAGGAACAGTAACACCAGCAGATAAAATATATGTTTACAAAAACTTTAATTGGCATATTAATGCATTAGAAGAATCTTTTCTATCGATGCACTTTTACTGATTTCATTGGTGCGAAATAAAATATTATTTCTTTTTCAAAATTTAAGAGTATCATATAAATATTTTTTCTTCATATTAGTTGACATTATAAAATTTAATGAGTATTTGAAGACGGCAATATATATATATAAAGGACAAAAAAAATGAAACGTTTTCTTCTTATTTAACTGCATTTACCGTTCTCGTTCTCCTTCTCAATCTATATTAAAATACCCTATCAACAGCAATATTGGCTTCATGAACGTTGCAATTTGATAGTATCTACTTAAGAATTTCAGCGTTTTTTTCTTCTTCTTCTCCTTTTGTAATTGTGTATTCATCTGCACGGAAGCATAAAATACAAAGCAATTTAATAATTTACGATTATATATTTAATTGAATATGACTACAACGCTTTCTCCTAAATATGAACCATCAACAAAAAGAAGTGAAACAGCAAATTCTCGTGTATCATTTGTTCCATCAACTTATGACAGAAACTATGGTCGTCATAATAAATTATACAGATGTCCACGAACACCACCAGATGAAGTTCAATTTAATCGAGAACGAAAATTTATTTTGGATTGTACAGCAGTATCAAATCTATCGAATGATTATTCAAGAGTTAATCCAAAACTAGGATCAGTTATTCCACCTTATAATGCACCAAAAAATCGTTATTTAAGATTTTCTGGTACACCTAAAACAGCAGAAAGATCAAGACAAGTGAATAATTAATTGTTTTTGATAATATATTTTTAGTCAATAGTTTTCTTTTTAGTCTAATACTCATGAACCTATTGTTAGTCGAGTACATGATCATGTTCAACATTATTTATCACTTCGAAATCAATTCGGTTCAGGTAACAAAAAAAATAAATCATAAAAATAAAAACAACAATTATTATCTTAGGTCATTCCACTGATGAAATTCGTGGTCATACATTATTTTTAAATGATATTAAACCAATTGTTAATTATAACGGAGTTTTCGGTATGTTTGTAAAAGTAAAAGAAAACTTTATAATTTTGTTTTTGAATAAAAACAGGTTATCGTCGTAATACACCATCACTTCGTCATCGACCAACAATGGGTACTAAACTTGATGCTAATAATATTCTTTCTATTGGTCATGATAAACGGAATATATTCCATTGCCAATGTAAATATAATCAGCTATGTCGATGCCATAATCAAGATAAACTGTGTCCTTGTATTAAAATATAGATAAATAAATATTTTATGCTAATTATGAAATATGATATATAATAAATAGATCTTCCATTTGATATTGTATCTCGACAGAATTCTTCATCAACTTTCGAACGACATTCATTGATACCATTACAACGTGCATTAGCATGTACACAATATGAATCATCACAATCAAAGAGATGTTCGCCTGGACATATAGATAAGTCATTATTAGGATTGACTTGTAATTTCGGGGTAAATGTTGTAAAAAATAGTTTAAATTGATGATAGCTATCATCATAATCAGTGATAAATCTCGATGGTTGTATCACTTCAAGATAAATTATATTACTATTAGATAAATAATCATCAGATTGACGACTTAATGATGTTGATTTACTTTTATCTATTATCATCATAGGACAATCAAATGTTGTTGTTTCATAATTCTAAATAAACAGTCTTCTACTAGATTAAACGATTTTTATGAAAACATACATCTCGAATTTTTAAACATGGTGTTTTTGGAATAGATATAAAATAATCTTGATCATAATCATTTCTTATATATGAAATCGGATAAAAAACAATTCGAATACGACTACCATGTGATGCTTGTAATTCTGTTGTACACTCTTGTATAGAGAATGCTGTTGTATCATAATCAACATCTAGATTTTTTTTTGGAAAAAAATAAAAGGAAAAACTATCTCTAGTTAATTCTATGATTACATTCAATTACATCATTATTGATAAAATCATACCGAATTTCTGTTGTGGATTGCGTGCATAAATAAATCCCGATGGCCATCTATAAAAAGAATAAAACTCATTATAGACTTAAAAATAAATGAACATTTCATACTGTGTTAGATTAATAAACATTGGTTGCATATTAAATTCAAATTGTTCTTTACAATATGAATGTAATGTTTGATTAATAATTGTATGCGGCTGCATAACAACTAAAAAATAGAAATAACCGATTATAGGTCGTTTTCAAAAGTTCTTTAAGCAAAAGAAAAATTGATTTTTCTCATACAGAAAGGAATATGTTGATTGTAATGTATTTCATCATTAGTTATAACAATTGTAATAAGAATATAGTATAAAAATAGATGAACAATCATTGTATAGTATTGTTAACAAATTCGATTGTTTACTGTATGTATAGTGTCGATTTTTTTGTGTGTGTAATAATCAGTAGTAAAGACGTACGATACTTGATCCTTTATGGAAAGAAATGTGCCAGCATTTTATATTACGCTTCTTCATTGCCTTCCGGACGAGAACCGCTAACGGATGGTAACATACACGAACACCGGAAAATAATGCAACAACGCGATTTTTTTTCTTCTCGTACTTAAACGACTATAGAACTTGTATAATAAAATTAGAATTGAAATTTAATAGTTAAACAAGATTTGTAATTGTTCATTGAAGAAGAAAAAGTTATTGAAGTTATTTTTCATGGTATATATATATTTTTTTTGATATTATTAGAATATTGAAAACATGTTGAAGAAAAAAAACGAGAACGAAATAATTTGCAATGAAGCATAACGTGCATTATATTGATGGCCTTGTCAATAACTTGTTTTTTCGTTATAACCGAATAAGCTATACTGAATCCTTGAATAAAATAAATGATTATCGATGGAAATAAAAGGAAACGTTGATTCTATTAGATAATTATTCAATAATGACAATAGTTCATTTATTGATTTTAGTTAGAAAAGAAAAGTACATGATAATTGTTGTTTGTTTTTATGTTCTACTGAATAAATATATATATTAGTAATTACTATACCTTTTTTTTCATTATTTTGTTTTTTTATACACGTGGATATACAAACAAAAAATCTAAAGGTAGTACATGTATATATTACAAATTGCTCGTTGTGACTAAAATAGACATTTGTACGAATATGTATTGTTTTAATCGTAATATAATATTGGTAAGATTAATATATTTTTTTATAAACGAGTAAATTTCTTTCTAATGATAATCTAAAAAGAATATGCAAGGTGTAGATATTTTTTGATCATAAAAAGAAGAATAGAAACTTTTTAGATAGCCGAATTTCTAGACGATTTTGAAGATTTATATATTTCTTTTATCAAAAATGATTAATCAACATTTTTTACAACAACAACGTTTGAATAATAATCATGATCAATTACTTCGTCGATATCAACATATTCTTCCACCACATATATCAGAATTTCGTACATTTGGTAGAAGTTTATTACCAGGTCGAAACTATGATCAATATATGAATAGAATGAATAGAAATGATCGACGTAAAGATTCATTAGTTTCACAATCACGAGCAGGTATTGGTTTATCAGGTGAAACATATAGATTGATGGGTGGTGGAGCAACTGAAATTTTACCAAGAAATGTTAGTTCTATTATGCAACATACTCGACAACAACCAACATCTATAGTACATGCAGAAAAATTCGAACCTGTACAATTCTATGATCATCCAGTATTTGGACCAACACCTGCTTACATTCGACCTGTATTTAATAAAACACAACATCGAGAAGAAAACAATGCTAGTGGTACTGATACTGAAGAAGACGATGAAGTTAGTTCATTGACATCAGCGAGTGTTGTTCAAGGTCATCATAAACAAGAAAGAAAGAATTCATCACCTATTGTTAACAATAATAACGATGTCGATGAAGAAGAATCTAGCAATATGCCGAAAGGATATATATCGTATAAGAAATGGAAAGCAAAATATGAAAATCTTATTCCAGTTAATCCTCTTCTTTATAATATTTATACACATCGTCCAAATGGATCACTTAATAGCTATGGTCAATCATTATATGCACCATCGAATCCTCATCTTCAAGCAGCAACTCTCGATCTTGAGGGTCTATCTACTCCAACTATATCAGACATGGGTTCTATTTTATCTGATACACCTGGTGGCGCTCCTTCGTCAGCCAATCGACCGTATCACAGATTACAACCACAACCATCTCCTAAAATAACTCCAATTCGAACAGTTCCAACTAGTATACAAGGTTAGAATCTATTATTTTACCTTTATCTAATAATTATTTTTATTTATTTATTTATTTGTTACAGAAAGTGATGGTGAGGACTCAGATGATGAATCAAGTCCACCTGATTCACCTGTACCTTACTTATCACGAAACAAAACAAATCCTATTGCATCAACATCATTATCTACTACAATTCCATCAGCACCAAGAATAACATTACCACTACCATCGTCAACATTCAATACATCCAATACCAACGCACCAGGTATTTAACATCTCAACTAAACAAGAAGTTGACGAATTTATTTTTTATATAGGTACATCTACATCATTAACTACAATAAATATTCCACCCGCTCCACCAATGCCTCCATCATTACTATCAACTACATCCAATAATACATATCAAACTGCTTCTATTATCCCAACTACCGTACCTCCACCAGCACCACCAATGCCTCCATCACTATTATCAACTACATCCACTAATACATATCAAACTCCTTCTATTACCCCAACTACCGGACCTCCACCTGCACCACCAATGCCTCCGTCACTATTACCAACGTCATCCACTAATACATATCAAACCCCTTCAAATCTCTCAATTACTTCACCACCACGTGCACCACCTATGCCTTCATCATTATTTCCAACTTCTTCACCTCCATCTGCACCTTCTATGCCAACAGCATTATCAACTACAAGTTCAGCTGGTATATATCAAGCACCATCAAATTTGTCTGCTGCTCCACCGCCATCAACTTCATCATTCTATGGCTCAACACCAAAAGCAGTTACATTTGGTGGTTCATCAGCATTTCCACCTCCTCCAAATAATGATGTTTCAAGTAGCAGTGATAGCAGTGATGATGAAAAAGCGAAACGTCGACGAAGAAAAAAAAAGTAAATATTATATTAATATGAAGAATATACTATTGTAAAATTATACATAAATATAATCTATTTTAGACAAACTGCAGCTGGCGTCGATGTTGATTCATCATCAGATGATTAAAAACTTGATATTTTGTTTTATTTTTCAAATGTCTTTTATTTGTATAGCTCTAATAAATTTTATGAACCAAGAAATTCAATGTATATTATATTATTCTTCTATCATTTATTAGAAGCATGTTACATTAATAGAGAAAATATATAATATTTTTAGATTAACTTTAAAGGATACTGAAAACATTTCTAATGATGAATGGAACTAATATCCGCTGATTAATAGCTTTGATATAAATAGATTTACATCAGAATTTACTTGGTAAAAAATGAAAATAAACAGAAAAACTCAAAGTCATTCGAACATATGAAAGATGTGAATATGACCGTGCATTAAAATAAAGCAGATATCGAACTTTTATTCACATGCACTTTCTCATCCTTATACCAATAAATTCATGTATATAACCTTTATTAATACTTACTTTGAATATTGACTTATTGACATGTCATCATCATCGATGTATTTTGAACATAGACTACTAAAAGTTATTGAGGATATACTATATATAATAAAAATTGTAGTATTGTATTTATTAATTACTTTAGACAATAATATTTAAATATTTTAAGGATATACGTGACATCTTAACTTAGAAGTGAGTGTTAAGGGAGATATAAAACTAACTTATCGATGTTCAACTCCATCAACTTAATTAATCTAGAACAAAAAAGTTATTACTCACTTAACTTTTCTATTGAGAATATGTAGAATAATATATAAATGAACATATGTTAAATGAGTATTATATATTACCCTGGAAAAAGAATAATTTATTTTCATAGACAACATTTTGTTAGGTCAGAACTAATTCACACATCACATATTCTTATTAGTATAAGATAATCAAATAGAACTAAAGACATTTGCTTGACATTTACATATTAAAGATATTATTTTCTTTTTTTGTTAATTTATTCTAAAATTTATTAAATTAAGATGAAGTTCTGGTGACTAGAAAGAAATCAATATTTAAAAGATACTCACATAATTGAACAGTACTTATTGCTCTTACAAAATTAAGTTTCATTGTACTGTTATTAATCATATGAAAAAAACAAGTACCATGTTATATAAAGCTTTAGAAGAGTTCACGGGAAATAACTGTATTACCAGACATACAAAATACAAATAGGTCAATTTATACATTATTCTCAAAATATCTTGAAAAAAAGTATATTTACGATTTATTCATTTCTCAATTATATGAGATTCAGAAAAGTGAAATCAACGAACGTTCTTAACAGTTTCTATGTAGGATACATGGAATTTATCAACCATTAAAATATGGTGTGGAAATTGTAAAGCAACGTAGCTTGTTGATCCTAATGAGAAGCAAAATAGAAGATTGTTACTATAATCTTATGTGTAAAAATAGAAAAAACTATAATTAAAATTCTTGCTTCATTACTTTATACACATTATTCTACGCTTCTTTTCTATTGAGTAGATAATATTTATAATGAATCAATCGATTATTCTGTACATCATTTAATTATTTTGAACTCTCGACCATATTAGATATTGGTTCTTCTAATCGACAATATTATAGATTACAACTATAATTATTTTCTTAAATAGGTTCACCTCAACTACCTCAATTTGGTCATCAAGATTAGAATTTATGATTTCACCATTGTCTGTCACTTGTTAAAAATGTGTTACATGAAATATTCTTATTTTTATTATATTATTGTTACAGAAAATGATGGTTAGATCCTAGATGTTGAATCAAGTTCATATGATTCAACTTTGCACTAGTTATCCCGGAAGAAAACATATTCTATCCTACTGAGATCATTATGTACTACAACTCCATTAACACCAAGAATAGCATCATCGGTTCCACCCTCAGGAATCACGTCATCACTACCATTATCAACAACAGCGTCGTCGTCGTCAACATTGACTATATCCATTACTAACTCTTCAGGTACTTCAAATTACAACAAAACAACAAATGGATGGATTCTCTTTTTTTTTGTTTTTGAAAACAAAAATAAAAACAGATTTTCATATAAGTATATCTTCATCATTAAGTACAATAAGTACATCAAATATTTCATCTACTCCGCCGAAATCTTCATCATTATTATCGAGTGTTAGTTCCGTCAATAGATATCTACAAGCATCTAATTGATCATTTTCTAGTCTAATAACAAAAGCAATCACTTTTTTGATGGTTTTGTTATCAATTCTAAGTCCAAATAATAGTATTTCAAGTATCAGTCGTAGTGATAATAATGAAAAACAAAACTATCACCAATGACGAAGAAGTAAATAAATATTACATTAATATTAAAGATATATTATTAAAGATCAGACATAAATATTATATATTCTAAAAAAAACTACAGACGACCTCGATGTTGATTCATTATCATATGATTAAAAACTTGATATTTTGCTTTATTTTCCAGATGTTTTTATTTTTGCAGTTCTAATAAATTTGATGAAGCAAGAAAATACCTAAGTAATAGTTTTCCATATTTGACATGCCTGAGCTTTCTTTTATTACAAATTATTTTTTCAGGAAATATTTGACATGTAATCAAAAAGGTGTTCTATATCTGAGATGTCTTTTCTGCATGATTGTTTCTCATCTGCTCGTTATATTATAAAAAAATATATTATTCATCGATTTACTATTTATGTTGATATATAATATATCTTTAGATTTATTTCATAGAATAATAAAAAAGCTTCTATGAAATATATCGTAATAAATAAAGCTAATGTACTCATTCTCCTTAACAACTTGAACATTGGTGCATTTACGCCGGAACAAAACTGCTAAAAACAGGAAATATACGCGAATATTCACAGCCATTTAAAATCTCCTTCTATATCATCATCATTAATGCTTCGAACAAGACGTTCTACGTGCGCTTAAGAAATGGTTATGATCGGCAAATACGAAGAAGAAGAAAAAAAGAAGAAGAAGAGAAACGAAGAATCTATCGGATACACGATAGTAGAACTATGTATGCACTATATATTAAAGGGTGCAATTTTATTTTTTTGTAAGATTTAGTATAAAAACTAAGACCTCTCTATTTAGCTTTATACTAGAATAAAAAACGTATGAAATATTTATTGTCTTGAGAAGAACGCATGCTGTATTTTTCTTTTTACTACTTTTCCGTTTGTTGTTCTTTTCCTATCTACATTCTTTACACTTTATATTCAGTATGTTAATGCTTTTCTCAATAACGTAAAGATATGAAGAAATGTCTGTCATCTTCAATAAGCAATAAGAGAAAATAACAATACAAAAGAAGAGATTGAAAACGACGTAACTGAAATACTTTTCTAGTATCTATGAGTGTTTTCTGTCATTTTGCTTTTTTACTTTTATTTGATTTGTGATGCGTCAGTAAACTAAATATTATTATCGTTCTTAGTAGTCTACAATAAACAAAAAAATTCGACGTCAATGCATTATTTGAATAGGATAAATCAACAATAAAGAGGTGAGAGAAAAACAAAAAAAAAATTTTTTTTTTCTCTATCTAAAGGATCATAGGGATTTATTTACATTAAAGTATGATTAGATTTTTTGTCCTAAAAAATTTTTTTAATGAATTTTATTTCAATAAATGTCACATTAAGAATAAGATTTCTATTCTTTTTTTTTCTTCTAATCAATGAAAAATGACGTTTTTCACAATGGTTGACATTTTTTCATTATCTTTATCATTTGAAAAATAAATCACGCGATGAGTAAAACTTCTTTTGTATAAATAGTCATCAATGATTAATTTCATTTTTATTTATTCGAGATATTAGCGTTTTTTTGTTAGAATTAGCATTTGAGAACAAAGTGTCCCATCAATCGTTATTTTTTCTTTTAGAGATAAGATAATGATCTTACTGACGAAATAAAAGATTTCAATAGAATTCATTTAAACCTACACTATTTACTCATATATAATTTGTTATGTTAAAAAGAATATGCGTAAAAAAAATCTTCTTTTCATTTTACTCTCAATAAAAAGCATTCTTCTCATTCTAGAATGTCAACATGAAGTAATGAGATACATTAACCTGCTGGATACTTAGCAAATTTATTTTCTTTGGTTTTATAAATAATGAGATAGAAAACTGCGTTTCTTGTAATATAGAGTGTAGCAACTTCCAAAACAAATCAGTTGGTTACATCTTCAAATTTCTTCTACGACTGCAAACATCACAGTAGGAATCCAATTAGTATTTTGTAAAAATGAAAATAATTGTTAGTAACGTTGATTTATGATTTTTGACAAAGGTTACATCCATAATAAATAGCTTTTAACATTTTCCTACAAACTTTTGATTGAGCTATGTAATATTATAACTCATAATATTTATGTCAAAATCATATATCTTTTTCTATTCTACGATGATTTCTCCTCATGATCTATCATTCTAAACCCGGATACAAAATGATGAACTCAAAGGGAAAAAAACAAGAAACAACAATCTTTTTCATGTTTCGTAACGTTAATGTAGTTCGACTAATAAATGTTATAAACTGCCGGAAGATATATGATTTTCGTAGCAAAGCCACAACTAAACTCGGTTAGTAAATTTTAGAAATTTAAAAAATTGAGTTTATGTTTTCCACACTATCATTTATTTTTATTTCTTCAAAATACTAACTGGATTTTCGATAATATTTCTTCTGAGTATTAATTAAGCTCGACAATTTAAGAAAATATTATAGAATGTTTTTTTTTTCTTATTGTTTTAAGATTTCTTTTTTGTTTTTTATAATAAATGACATTTTAGACAGCACGTCAATCGAAATCAAATTATGAAGAAGATTAACTATAGAAAAAGGAGTTAGATTATTTGATCAAAATTTTTTGTAAAAAAATCTTTAAGTTAAACTATTTTTAGTATAATTATAGATTAAATTTTTAATTACTTTTTTTTTCTCAATAATTATATGCCTCTGAGTCTATGTTCTTTCAGATATAATATTTCTTGCTCACTATAACGAACGTTTGACTTATACTCTATCGTCATAGATTCACTAAAAGAACATATTTTGATTGTTTTTTTTAATTTCAATTTAATTCTCGGGAGGTATAGGATAAAGTAAATTAATTAAACTAAAGAGATTTCCACTTTTACGAACGTCTTATCAACTTAGTTCTGTATAAAAAAAATGTAATTATCTAAGCTTGGTATCATATCTAACGAGATTGTCTGATAGGATAATAAGCTTTTTTATTGAATTAAAAAAGAAATATTAATACAGGATTAAAGATGATTATATTGCTTTCATTAAAACATCATATGATGACTGGCAGTTGAGTGCTTGTGATTGTGTATAGATAGATACTTTTCAGTAAGCATTATACTTTAATATACATACTTCAGATAGTTTTTTTTATTTTGTTTGATTATGAAAGATTTATTTAATAAATCATGAAAACAATATAGTATTCTACTTGAATAGATAGACAGACAAAGAAAAATATTTTATATCACTATGATTTTTCTAAAAGTGCATTTATTTAGAAAATAGTCTAGATATATTATTAAAAAGTTTTTACGAGAAACGTCATATAGTCATGCTATCCTATATTTAACTTTCATATACGCTCTTTTAAATTAATATTTTATATCCAGATTTTTTTGTAGGTAATATTCATAATTTAGTTCGATCAAACAAAGTGATAATAAATAATACGCATAGAAATTTATATTTTTTGAATATACTTAAAAGTTAAGTTGAACAGAAATGTACTTATGACTCTAATGCAGCTCACTAGTTCTTTTTCTTATGATTGAATTGTTGCCATTCAATCGTTAGAGAGACTTCGTAACTGCAAAAGCTTTCTCTTGTCTCCGATCGTTCCGGTCACGAGTAGCTAACAAGTGTGGGTAGCTGTAAACAACTCATGTCGTTTCACATCCTTTTCTATGCATACTATTATAGAAAAAAAACGATTTAACCAACGAGGCACTATAAGAGTCTACTGTTGCCTCTTCATCATCATCGTTATCATTTTCAGTATTTGATGTCTATACTCTGCACTTGAATTATTGTTATTTTTCTTCTTTTATTTTTTTTCCGTTTTTTTTCCGCTTCTTCCATCGTGTCTCGATTTGTATTCGTCATGCATACATAATCATATTTATGTGCGATAACAGATAGATTTTAACACCAACAATAAGAAAAAAAGAAGGATCTCAAGAGATTGTTTTTTTTTTTGTCGAAATATTTTGTTTAGTGTATCGTTGTTTTGTTTCTGTCATTTCCTCTTGACTGATCATGAAAGAAGATAGAAGCAGTCAAAGAAGATTTGCTTTTCTAAAATAATCATATCAATGAAAGAGACAATTTTCCTTTGTATTTTTCTTTACAGATATAATTTGATGTCAATGTCAACGACGACGACAACAACACACCATCCGAATTGTAAGTCTCTATTTCAACATTTTCATAGAAAAATAACGAACGATTTGAAAAAAAACATATATTTAGATACGGAAATTGATTTCCTACCACCAACTCTATCAACATTAGCTGAGAGTTTTTGTGAAAATCAAACACAATCACCTCTAGATAAACTTGATGATCGAATTAATGTTGTTGTTCCATATTTAGTTATACTAGGTAAATTATAATGTTCTACACTTCTGATTGGAATATAAAATATTTGTCCTTTTATTTTATAGGTATCATAGGTAATGGTTTATCCGTTCTTACATTTTCACAACGTAAATTACGTACACTTTCCTGTGGTTGTTATTTATTATTACTTGCTATAAGCGATACAATCGGTTTATTGATTATGTCTCGACCCTATTTTTTCAAACAATTTAATTTAGTACATCATCTTAATTCAAGTTTTCTCTGTGGTTTACATTTGTTTTTAACAAAAATATTTGATGAATTAACGCCATGGTTGTTAGTTCTAGTTGCATGCAATCGACTTGTTCTATCACGCTATCCACGTAATGATCAATCCTTTCAAACAGCACGTGCTGCATTATGGAGTGCATTATGTCTTTTAAGTATAATTATACTTATTAATTCTCATTTACTATTTGGTATTGGTGTGGGTTTTTCACCATTACAACCATGTATATCAGTTTGTGGTCCATTAACAAAATCTCCATATTATTTATTTTTTTATAAAAATGTTAGTCCAATAATAGATCTATGCTTGAGTTTAATTATACCATTTTGCCTTATATTTATTGCTAATATATTCCTATTGGCTAATGTCAGTAATGTTAAGAAAAAAGTTATACGTGTACGTCGTCGTAAACGAGCTAGTCGAAATGCTCGTTTAAGTATTGTATTACTTGCTGATTTAATTACATTTCTTATTGTCAGTTTACCAGTTCTATCAGTTGATTGTATATATCGTTTTACACGTACTATTGATCATAATGAAAAATTAGATGAATATATATCAATAGCATGGACAATAGTTAATAAAATATTCTATTTAAATTATTCATTGTCATTCTATTTTTATGTTCTTTCGTCATCATATTTCCGTCATCATTTTCTTCTTGCAATACGTTGTAAAAAATTACATAGTATTTTATTTAATCCAGCAACAAAAACTCGTCCATCAACAAATTTTATTATGAAATATCATAAAAATCATTCACCACCTACGCCACCAAAAATCGTTGTAAAACAATATGACTGTGAAGTTATGTGTTCTGAACAACCACAAAATATCAATAATTGTCACAGTGAACTTATACCATTACATCAAAGTCACACGACATTAACTACATTAAGTGGAGATGCGATGCATGTTGAAATAAAATTAAAATAAAAACATTTACAGATTCTAATGGAATATATTAATAGACTTTGATAGTAATTGTAAAAATCGTTTTTTTTATTATATCATGAACATATTAATATTGTTATTTTTTAATAAGAGAAAAAAACAATGTAAATTAATTTGACTTCGGTCAATAAAATTAAATACAATCGAGTAATTTTATTTGAATGTCAATCGTATATAATAATACGATGAGTTCTTTAAATATAGATATATATTTATTAGAAAGGCTAAAACGAATAGCGTAATGTCAAGAATCTATTAATATTTATTTTCTTCTGATATAGCAAGAAGAGTTTATATTTGTTTCATATCATGACTGTTAGAAAAACAACATCAAATTAGTCAAATACAGGAACCTTCGGATATCCTAAAAGATTGTTTCAACGTGGAAATAATTTTTCTTAATAATCTGTTGTCAGCTAATATATTATCGTAGATATGATAAGTAATCTTATAAATTATTAGAATATTGTTCGAAGATTATTATTGACATCTTCTATATACAATCAAAAAAAACAAGGATGAAAAATCGAAGGGAACAAGATAGTTTACATTTATAACTTATTGATAATAACAATAAAGACACACAAAGTTCAGAGAGTATCCAAAAAACAAAATATATAGAACATTAGCAGTTCTGCTAATAGAATGTTCCTATTCAATTGCAAGATGAATATTAAGAACAAATAACACTGTGGCATCGTTTTCTTATTATCTTATTTATTGAGAGAGCTATTGCGAAATAATGATTCTTTTAAAGTCATCATGACCATATGTTACAATACGTTACATTTCTTTCATCTTATAATGTATTCCTTATTTATTTATAGCGTATGAATATTAAATATGACAAAAGATATAGAACAGTTCGAGTCATTTTTTATGTAATGTTAGTGAAAAGAATTATTCTAAAGATAGATTTTGCTGTTGTGGAATATCTATATAATATGTTCATTTTATTTCTCTTTAGTTGATTATTTTCATTCGAAAAAGCTTAAATTTGATCATTATTCAAGTACATATTTATTTTTCTTAGGTACAAATATTTATATAAATATAATATTCAGGATTCAAGACATGTGATAGTTAACCTAGTTCTTCAGGGCATAAAATAAAAGTCGCTAATACATATGCTTTATAGGGTGTTGATTATTTGAAATATGATAATTGTTATGACAATGGAACAATTTCAGAAGTCAAATACTCTATTATGCGAAATACATTGCATGCAAGTACTAGATCAAATTTCTATTTTATGTACGGTATGCTTATGAATGTAGTACTTAATTGATTTTATATTATTGCGTTCTTTGTATAGAACATGGTACTGGATAACCCAGCTCTATGAACAATAAATGTCGGAAATAGTTGACAAATTACATATGATATAAAAGATAGATAGCAATCAATAATCAGTATAATTGATAATATAATGAAATCTATATTATGGGTGCCTCAGGTCAATGAGTTTCATTTTTTCTAAAAGAATAAATTACTGATAAATCAGATCTTGGTGGATGAAATGACCCATATAGTAAGTATATATCTCATAGAATTTACTCATTCAATATTTATTTAGTGCTTGAAGTTGGAAATGATGGTATGACTGATTTAGAATATGTCACATATTTTACTCTTTGTGAGCTTTTAGCAAAGCACCACTCATCATTGGATGTGATGTTAGTAAAATGAGTGCAGCTACTTCATCAACACTCATAAACCCAGAAGTAATTACTGTCAATGAAGATCCATTAGGTATTCAAGGGAAAAAGGTTGCTTTTGCGTCATCACAATTACCAAATATAACAATTGAAATTATTATTACTAATTGTTCATCACTATCTTCAATCGATATATAATTCAGAGGATAGATCAATTCGATCTATACTTAATGAAAAATGTTTATCAATAGAAAACTATAATACTATAGAAAATTGATTCGTCTCAGTAAACTATTATTTCTCGAATGAATAAAAAATGGTAAGTTTTACATAGTGTATTAATTATAAAAAAAAATAATTAACATAAATTGATTGCTTTTAGTTTAGATTTTTAGAATTTTGATAGGTATAACGTTGATGCATTTGCATAGAATAAATAATGTAATTAAGTATGAATATGAAAAATAACTGATGAAATTGTTTGAAATAAACATAATTCTAAATGCTTCACTGTTCGATAACAGTTTTCCTGTTGATCATTCAACTGTCATTTATGATTTAGACACTCAAAAAGATATAGAAATATTTATTGGTAGTTATAAGTCATCAAATATTGATCATCAGGCAGCAATGATGTTAAAACGTACCTTTTCTAAATAAAGGAATATAAAAACAGAAGATTTAATCTACTAGAAATGAACGACCTGTACCCACTGAATATTCAGACATGTAATTATACTATTTTAAAATATTATTAATTGATTAGAAATCTAATATACCATATTTTATATATTTTGATGTTGATTAAGTATGAAAGATTATACTAATGAGTAGCATGTATTCAATTTCACTCAGACTTTATTGTAACTAAATTTACGAGCAATGATAATATGTGAATCTCTTTAGGTAATACAATAATAGTGTTGCATTTACTCATAAACCGAGAGATTAATTACTTTTATCTAACATTAATCAAATGTTAATCCGTTTTGAAATTTTTGAGAACCGAAGCTAAAACCTCCTATCAAATTACTCATTTCCCGTGTTATTTATGTTATAAATACATTAATTAATTTTTTTTATATTGGACCTAAATGTTTCGTTTTTCAATCAAATACAAAAGAACATTTTTAATAACTTAATATTTGTGTTTTTTGCCTATCGTACACAAGAACATCTCTAATATGCTAAAATTCATTTGATATTTAATTACACGATAATAATGTTCAGATCTATTATTGTCAACATCTGAAATATATGAATACTCACAAAACTTGATTTTCAAATATTTTTTATTCTCAGTTAATAAACGATATAATTATAACAGTAGCATTCGATTCTACATTCAATTACAGTATGATGCAAAACAATTGCCGACTTTCTGCGTGTTTCTAGTTATCATTCTTGAATCGGTGCATTTATTGAGATCGATATTGCTCGAAAAATATGGTCTGGTTTCGTAAAAATGCCTCCTTATCAAAATGCTAATTGTTTGTTAGCTGATTCATAAATCATCTTACACTATTGAACTACTGAAGATTTAAGACAAAATAATGGAATGAAAATTATTGTATATAAACAAAGAAAATTACATAGATCAAATATATATTATAACTCAATCAAACTTTTCATCTATGATAAAACAGAAAAATAAAAACATTTCAGTAAAACATGTGGTTACTTCATGCTTACGGATTTAATTCTATGAATCATCATTGAATCTCCTTTCGGTTTTTTAATACTTGAGTTGATTCATCGTCTTTAACGTTACGAGTATGGTTTGTGGTATTTCTTTTTTGTAATAAACATGTGCTGTGAGAATAAAAAACATATTTCGTAATGGTTTCTGTACCATATAGAGTGGCGATAAGTATTTCACACAGACTTTTCTCTCATGAAATTTTTCATTACATATGTACGTTCTCATCAACGAAATCACAAATAAAAAGAGAAGGTTATTTTGAGATTGTGCGATAAAATCAAATCATGGGTTTAAAAGTATTTCTTTTCATATTTTCTATTCATATTTCACATCAACTTAACAATGGTCTTGGTCGAACACCTCAAATGGGTATAATAGACCAATATTTTATCTCAAACTAATTCTTTGTCTATTTCGTATTAAAGGATGGAATAGCTGGAATCATTTTGCATGTAATATTAGTGAAAAACTTATTCAACAAACAGCAGATACTATTATAAGTACAGGTCTTGCTGCTGCTGGATATCAATATGGTATGTTCATTGTATTTTCAAAATATTCTATATGAAAATATGATGATGTTGGATATTTTATTTTATAGTAAATATGGATGATTGTTGGCAAGTGAGTCGAGATGCACAAGGCATTATTCAACCTGATCCACAAGCTTTTCCAAATGGAATTTCACCTTTAGTTGATTATATTCATTCGAAAAAACTTAAATTTGGTCTTTATTCCGGTATAGATTCATGTTTCTCAAAATCAGATATTTATATAAATGTTATTTTTTTCCATAATTATCAGATTCAGGATTCAAGACCTGTGACAGTCGACCTGGTTCTCTAGGATATGAAACAAAAGATGCTAATACATATGCTTCATGGGGTGTTGATTATTTGAAATATGATAATTGTTTTGACGATGGAACAATTCCAGAAGTGAGATATCCTGTTATGCGAGATGCATTGAATGCAAGTGGTAGATCGATTTTTTTTTCTATGTGTGGTATATTCATTCATTCATTTGTCTATTCTTGTTACTATATTTTATATTATTTTGTAAATAGAATGGGGTATAGATAAGCCTGCATTGTGGGCAGCAAATGTTGGCAACAGTTGGAGAACAACATATGATATTCAAGATAATTGGAAATCAATGTTGATGAACATTGATATCGTACGATTTTTATATATTTGCACTATCGAAATTTGTGTTTTTTTTTTGTATTTAGAATAATGAATTTGCTGATAAAGCAGGTCCTGGCGGTTGGAATGATCCAGACAGTAAGTATATTTATATATCTCATTCAATTCACTTATTCGATATTTATTTAGTGCTTGAGGTTGGAAATGGTGGTATGACTGATTCAGAATACATCACACATTTCTCTTTATGGGCTATTAGTAAAGCACCACTCATCATTGGATGCGATGTTAGTAATATGAGTGCAGCTACTTTATCGACACTTACCAATCCAGAAGTAATTGCTGTCAATCAAGATCCATTAGGTGTTCAAGGAAGAAAAGTTGCTTTTGCGTCAACAAAATTACCAAATATAACAACTGAGATTATTGTTACTAATTGTTCATCATTATCATTAAAGACTATACCAAAACATTTTCAATGGACATATAATTCACAAGATGGATCAATTCGATCTATACTCAATGAAAAA